GGATGGGTGAGGGAGGGATGATTAGAAAAAATTAGAGATAGTAAGAGAAGTTGTTAGAGGGACTAGAATATTTAAATAAGAGATAGAAATACAAAACAAATGATAGACCTAAGAAATAGACGAATAAACAGAAGAATAAAAGAAAGAAAATAATGGTAATAAAATAATATAAATGTAGATATATATACATTGGGAACATATATACAGGGCTAGGCAAATATACAGAACTTAGTGCGGGTATTTGTACCTACGCAGAGGAAGGTGGGGAAGGTTGAATTGCAGTGCTTGTAGTGTGTGGGGGTCTATTGGTGGGAGGAGGCCAATAAGGTCTGCGTAGGGATCCCAAAGGAATACAAGACGTTCCCCGCAAGAAATCAACATTTTATGGTAAGAACGTGTAATTTGGAAAGCCAGGTATATAATAATGATAAGGTWTAATTAATGAAATGAAGAAAAATAAATAAAACGGATAAAAATGGTGAAAAGGCGAAATTTACGTAACCTGCGTGGGACGAGCTCGATAAAATGTCGCGTGGTGATCTCGTAGGGAAGGAAGGAGCGGATAATGGTAAACTGGGGAAGGCAAGGGAGGCCAAATGCACTGGCTACCGTACATCATCAGGGGCTGAGACGGTAGACAGAGTAAACTTCGTGTTTCAATGCAATTAAGACGTCTTAAAATTGCTCAGCCCTACACGATGCATTGGCTCGACGAGAGAAACACGCGGCGAGTTAGAATTGAAACTAAAGATAGTTGTGGTAGGTTAAAGGATAATAAAAGAGGCGAGAGATAGGTATATGGGCGAAATATGAGGGAAGAGTTCTTACTTGTTACCCGAAGTGTATGCTAAGTGCTGATTTTGTAATAGGTTTTTTGTTGTGGTTATTTCCATACTGATCTTGTGCCGATTAAAAACTATGTGGGGAATGGGGAGTACCGGATATTGTAATGTTTGTGGGTAACATATCAGGTGACAAAAAGGGTTATTGTAAACGATATACATATAAAGTGTAATAATTGGCGTACTTTTATCGCCTTGTACATCTCATCACCGTTCGTTCTCGGCGATAGTGCGCACGAAATGTTATGTTCGCAATTTTTTATTTATCATTATTAAGCTTATATTACTCACCAAAGATGAATATCTTAGATCAAGGCGGGAAAATAAGTTGTGATAAAAGAATTTTGGCAAGCTTTTTAAATTTGCGCGATAGAGTTCAAAGACTCACTAAGATACCTAGCAGCTATTTTTGCAAAATATTTTCCAAAATTTAAAAATAAAACTTTCAAAAATCTTATTGTTTAGTACCTTCTAGCTTTGATGAATTGGCGTATTCAAACTTTCTAGACTTACTAGATAGATTTGTAGATATATCAGCGAGATAAGCCATGAAAAAGGACTAAAAAGATTATCAATTGACATGTTTGAACTTCTTCAACAAACATTGACATTTTCTTTTAAGTTAAGTTACCTTATAAATTTGAACAATTCTCCACAGTCTTCAGCAGCCTAATCGATTTTTCAAATTCCTGTTTTCAGTCATCTTTATGATTTGAGTCGGTATCTCTTGAATTTTTATACAGCTGTATTGGTTTTCGACTAATMCATAATAATAGGCTAAGTTATGAATCGGCGCGCGCTTGGGCTACCTTTGGTATATTATGTCATTGATCCCTTGCCTYGCGGGTATGTTATCTAATCGCCGCGCTGCGGGTTACTTTTACGTCACGATCCCGCGCCTCGCGGGATACAGACTAGTCTGTTTCACAGACTTGYTTGTATCCCGCGAGGTACGGGATCGTGACGTAATATACCACAGGTAACCCAAGCTAGCGCCGATTCGATAAGATAATAAAAGCGTGCGCATTCATTCTTTTCTTCCTCTCAAGCAATTCATAGATCCGACTAATCAAGCGCGAGCGTGCGATTATCCAATCAGAAGAAAGCGTTGGAATCGAACGCTCGCGCTTGTCCCACAAATGACCCACAAATGCTTTCGATTTTTTGTAAATGACATTCTTCGGACGATTTGTCGATAGAATTTCCGGTAAATTTCCTGTTTCTTTTGTTAAAAACAATCTGAAGTCAATTTGAAAAA